GCAGGCCTTCGGGCCGAGAACCTTCGGGTTCGGTTCAGCACCTTCGAGTGCAGGCCTGCGGGCCGAGAACCTTCGGGGTTCAGCACTTCGGGCGCAAGCCGGCGGGCCGAGAACCTTCGGGTTCAGAGGGCGCAGGCCGGCGGGCCGTGAGAACATTCAAGCGCCTTCGGGCGCATCGGGTTATTCTCACAGCACCTCCCGGCGCAGGCCTGCGGGCCGAGAACCGGGCGCAGGCCTGCGGGCCGAGAACCATCGGTTGAGCGGCACCACGTCAGGATGTGACACGCCGACGGATAATATGCGCGTCTTTGTCGTTTGGCTGATGCTGCAAAGCCACTTTGCCATTGAACTGAACGTTGACATAAATAATCTAATATTATTATTAATTTACAATTGTCAGACAAGATAGCTCCGCCTCTCGCAGGCATTTGGCCTTAATCAGTCCGAAGCCTGTTCTGAATCGGGTCTGGGAAGTTATGGCTACCTGGTGCCGTGATGAGTTTCGTCATCCACGCTCGGATGAGTTCCAGCGCGTTTCCATCTTTAAATACCAGCATCAGAGGCGGGGACATCACTGAATAATTCGTCGGATTCAGATGGTACCTGCAGCAGATTGATTGAGCGCTGTCACTGTCACCTCAGGTCCGGTCGGCGACACGAGTGGCTATTTTTACACCACCAAGCGCCGCACTGGCAACACGCGAGCTGCACTGGTCACATTAGCTTTAAGCGTGTTTGAGACCGAGACATGATACCATGATCTGAAACGTCAATGACTTTCAATCCGATCCTGGGACATTTCAAGCTTTTAAATTAATTAAGGTCACGAAGAGCGGTCGCGAAGCTGTGGCGTCTTGCGGAAGATGGTTTTACAACTCAAACGGCTTGTTCTTCGACAACTTTGCCTGCTGTGCCTTGGCTCAACAGCAAATCTGAAGTTGATGAACGACAGAACCGAATTTAAATAATTAATTGCCCGCCTCAGGTCCTGACCCCGGTGTCACCAGGCACAACCTTCTTTGGCGGAAGGACCGTGGTGCGCGGCCATTCACTGCTACTCGGCTTGGGCTTACGGTTTTGAAGTTTGTCGCCCCGGCGCTGGCAATGACATCCTGAGGTCTTTCAAACGGTGGAGAGGAGCATGCTCTATATGGGGCTGATGCTTTTTGATCCACTCGAATCTGAAGTGGTGTACCTGCGCTGTGACACGCGCGGGATGCTCGCCGAAGTTCGTGGAGCTCTGACTTCCCGACAGGCCCTGACAGCCGCGCCGCCCAGACGACCAGCGGCAGAGGATGAATGGATCATCCTGGGCGGAGCAGCTTCGGCTGATGAGGACGGTGACTACGTGACAGTGTAACCGTCTTATTTTAGCCACAAAACGGCACGGAATGATTGCCTGCGAAACGCAGGTCAATCCAGGAATCGAGAGGCGTAGAAAGTATGCGCATCACTCCTGTGCATCAGACAGGACATAATAAGGCAACTTTGTGCTCTGTCCCGCAGTTGTACACAGCCTAGGCTATCTGGGTACGACCTGGCTTTAAATAGCAATTTTAGCTGGATTCCTCATCGCTCGCACTTTTTTTCGATCCGGACGTCCGCGGCCATTTTTATTTTAAACTTATAGCTCGCATTACAGGGGGTCCGTCGAGCCATGGCAATGGAGAAATTAGCATTGGACAAGTTTGAGGAGGCTACTTTGCTCTCTAGTGAGACCACAACGGTAATTGTGGCCTGGGATGACGTGACTGATCGATTAGATGACTCTGAAAATGGCCATGCCCTCCTGGCAGCGCTGGGTGTTTCTCAGGCTGAGATAGACACTGTGACCCGCATCCTGCGCAAGGTGCAGAACCGGGCTCATGACTACAAGAACGACCTGAAGGCTGAGCTTCAGACTGGTCGGCAATCGCCGGAACCGCGCAGTTTTGCCATAGATGTCATGTACCAGGAAGCTGAAGCTGCTCACCCAGGACCACGAGTATTTGAAAGCGCTTTGCTGCCGGGCGAAGCGCTGGGCTCGGTGCCAATGCCAGGCTGTCACTGACGTGAGTGACTGAGGCTCGACGAGGTGTTAAAAATTAGGGAGCGAGCGCTGATTTTTTGTCTATTTTGATTAATAATTATACCGGTGTCACATGAGCAATCGCAAGCTGGTGGTTTTCGAAGCCATTTTGGCACCAGTGGCAGTCGCACGCTGTCACTCTGTTTAATAAACAGAGGAGTGACATTTGTCAATCAGAGCCTGCGCAAGTGTCTAGTCCAATGGGTAAACCATCGCTTCTGCCGTTGAAACTGGTGGGCCAGCACGTCCGCTCCTGCCGGTCAAAGTCAGAGCGCTGTGGCCTGTGCCACTGGCACAAAAATAGGCCGGGATGGGTCCAGGGCTTATGTGACCCTAAGTGGGCCAAGGTTACCGTCCAGGGCGGAAAGTTTGCCAGAATTGGGTGCACTTACTGTTGCTTGGCAGAGACAGGTGGCCCGTGGGCTGAGTTCTCCCACAAACCATTGACTTTGAGGAAATTCCAATTCAATAGACATGAAGCGTCCGCTGTGCATAAGAAGGCGGCTGAAGCGTTTCAATGTTCAGAGAGAATTGTTTTCGCCCCAGCGGCCAGTGAGTTCAACGACGCCTTGAAGAAAATGGTGAAAGGCGGAAGTTGCAGGGACGGAGGCTGCATGTCCGACAAACGGACGCAGATGCGGTGGTGCCTGTCAGAGGCAACGCTGTCACTGAGCCGTGACAGGCTGCAAAGTGCCGAGGCAATGTCAGTTATGAGGGATGAAAGAAAAGGCAGGCTCCTCCTCAGGTACCGAGCGACGCTGCCAGATCTGTCCATTCACAGTGGTGTGTTTGGATTCATCCCGACTCAGGGGTTTGCTGACTCGATTGGCGAAGCAACTCGGAAATCGATCACTGATTTCTGCACCCCCAAGCTTAACCCACCCAGGCAATTCAAGCAAACCACCTGCCCAGTTGACCAAAAATTGCTCCGAAATGTTCAGGAGAAAACCCAGATTTTGGCCACTGATGCGGCAGGTCCTGAGTTGCTAGCTTCCCGCATTTTGAGCGGGAAGAGACAAGCGGCAAGCGCCGGCTTTCAGGATCCCTTCTTTAAACGGGTCCGAGTGATTGGACGAGACGCGGCGCATGCGTCCACTCGTTTGTTGAAGCGGCCATTCGAGGCACATCCTGAGATTGAGAAGTTGCTGAACGAATTTGTGACCGGGAAGGACAGTTTCGCGCAAAAGGTGCAATATTCCCCGTTGTATCAGCAATGGTGGAAGAAAAGCCTGGTTGATGAGGCTGGAGGGAGCGATCTGTCCGCGGCAAAGCACAGGTTTGCCAGCTATATGAACCCGCTGGCCAAAATCAGCAAAAACATGGGCGCCATGATGCAAGTGTGCCATCAGATCGCCACCGTCAGATCTGATGACTCCAGTGGGAGTGCATGGGCGCACCGACTGATTGAAAATTTCTCGGGGAAGAAAGCAGTTGCCCGGGGACTGCTCGCCGATGCTGCTTGTACCTGCCATGACCTGACCCGGTGGCTCGACTCTGAAGACGTCGATATATGCCAGGTGAACAGCCAGGTGCAATGCTTTGTAGCATCACTTCGGACCCTGTTTGGAGCCAAGAAGGTGTTGGAGCTGCCAACATACACAAAGCACATCGTGGAAGAGCTTACGCGTCGCCCCATCACCATTCTGCACGGCAGTCCTAGACAAGTTAGAATCTCTCAGACAGATATTGCAGAGGGCATGAAAATCTTGCAAGAGCCTTACCAGAGATTATAAAAACTGATTGTCGTCGTCATACGGTTACCACATAATATTCTTTTAAATATTTTAAATCGTCGTCAACTGAGGAATGGGCTGTCGTATCAGAGGCCGCTGTGGCCACTGAATTCCCAAGCTGGGATGTCATCGCCAGCTTTGATGCGTTTTGTCTGCAGGGCGCAGGTGAGTCTGCGCAAGACCGACCGGAAGCCAAGACCAGCCTGGCTAAACTTGCCCAAGTGTTCCAAGTGGACTTAGGAAAATTGACACGACAATTTATTGCCTTCTTACCCATGGCCAGCGCGATTCAAAAGCAAGCTGGTCTGGACAACCTCGCAGCTTGGTCAGAAGCTTTGATTCGATCTCAAGGACGCAAGTTGATGCGAGACAAGTATCCCTGTGCTGAGCTGCGGAAGGCGAGATAATAAAAATTCTTTTTTTTCTGCAACCATTGCACTTAAGACTTGAACATGCCGCTGTTTGCCGCTGGGGCTGCCGCAGGTCATTTGCGCTTATTTAGCCAAGCTCCGGAGTAGAGCAACTCTTTTCAAAACTTCAGAACAGCCCGACTGAGCAAGGAAACGCGAAATGTGATACCGATCGCCGCCTGGCGACTGTCATCGGAACTGTCAAAGATTCTGACGCAGAGGAGATTGTGCGTCGTGCCCGGGCGCTGTACGCAGACCTTTTGGTTTCCGGCCGGGCGCGGGCACCTAATAAACAACCCCGAGTGGACAAATGCGCCAGGAAGCAACCCCGCCCGTCTGAGAAGCAATGGGTTCGAGATCGCAGAAGCGCAGTGCTGTCGGCAGCCAATGACCTCCGCAGCAACCCAAGTGCAAACGCACACTGGTCAGCAGCAGCATCAGTGAACATGCCAGAGCCATTGCAGAAAGAACTTGCCAAGCAAGAGTCTCAGGCTGTTAAACGAAAGGCCGAGGCCTACCTTGATGGTTTGTTGCTGCCAACCGAAGCAGACGGCAAGGTTCTCTCGGCAGCAGCTGCCAAATTGAAAACGGATGCAGCAAACGATGCGGCGCGGAGAAAGAAGTTTCAGGAGGTGACCACGGCCACCAAATTGAAGACACAGAAACAGTCCATTGCTTGGGCAATGAAATCCCTGCAGTCTCCAGTCTATTTTGCCGGCGCCAGTCCTACAGAGGTTGCCAAATGGACCAAGAAGCTGGCTGACCGTGGAATCACCAACGTGACGCAGGACATTTGAATCTTGATTCATCTAACTTTTAACTTTAACTGCTAAATACTATTTAATATTAATTATTGTTCCCTGCAGGACTTGAAGCAGGCACAGATGATTGTAATCAAGGACATCGATCACTTTGCTCAGAAGTACCGCGCTTTCTCTGCCCTGATGGGGGCAGTTGTATTGAGTGGTCCAATCCTGGATGGGCAGGGCGGGCTGAAACTCAGCCACAAACCTGGCTTCAAATTCGGTGTCTCAGTGTACGCGACCAACAATTTTAAGAAAGAGCAACCGGGTTTGACATTGTTGGTTCGCGAGGCATGTGCGCGTGGAAGCGCCCAGGGTGACAGTGGTTGGCAGGCGGTTTCATTGGAAGACGCTGCCAAGAACAAAAGAGGCAAAAGAACCGTGCCAATCATCCTTCACGGCAAGGATGAAACAGTCCAAGTGCAAGGCGCAAGTAAGAAGTGCAGGCTGATGACAGGGGGCGCTTTTACGACATGGGTGGCCAAACTGTACATTGACCATCAAGCCAGCGCCTGGATCAAAGGATCCAATCCGTAGGCAACGGGGTGTCTGAACCCGGCTCCTGGGAGAGACGGAACTGGGCTTGAAAATAATGTTTGCCTAAACTGTGTAATGTGACAACTTGAAGACCTTGTTTTTTCAGATTCGCTGTGCCAGGACTGCAGCCATGCCGCGGCTCAAAGTCTTGAAATCCTTTGCGAAGCCCAAGGCTAGAAGCGTTTCTGCACAAGACAGAGACAAATTGATTGCCAGCATCAACGCCCTCACCACTAATTGGAGGCAGCGCTTGAAACCATGGCCAAAGCCTTCGTCGCTACAACCAATCAGGTTGATATCTGACTGCGCCGGATATGGCTCCGACCTGATTGCTTTGCGGCTGCTAGGATTACGCGCCAGGGTTCAATGCGTCATGATGTCTGAGTGCAACCCTGCAAAGGTGCATCTGCACCAAGCAGTTGAAGAAGTATGTGGCTTCGATGCAGCCCAGCTCGAACATGTCTCTGACATGTCTTTGCGAGATAACTCGACAGCACCGTCTGTGGAACTTTATGTGGCCGGATACCCCTGCCCATCATTTTCCAGGCTGGGAAAACAGAAGGGCACCCAAGACAGCAGAGGGATGATCACCATCCATGGACTTGCATTCATAGCCAAAACTCGCCCGCTCATGGTGGTCTTAGAGCAAGTCTCTTCCCTTTTGCATCGCAAGCACAAGAGGGTGTGGGAGTTCATACAGAAAACCTTGAGGCTTTTGGACTACAAGTATGTCTACAAAACCTTGAACACAAGGCAATTTGGAGTGCCGCAGTCACGCCCACGGGTGTATGTGTTGGCGGTTGCCGCAGAATGCTGTTTGCAGGAACAGTTGCAGATGCCTGTGGAGAGAAAGCAGCACCCTGATTTGCACACCTTCTTAGACAAGGAGAAGTCGGGAACCGAAATCCTTTCCTTGCCCCACTATGAGAGGCAAGCCGGCCCGAATTTGTGGAAGAAGGGCTACGTGGTGGACATCAAGTCTTCAGATGCTTTCCAACATCTGATGAAGAACTGCTGCCCCTGCCTCACCTTCACTCGTTGCCGAGAGTTTGGCTATTACATTCCTAAGCTCAGACGACGCTTGAACACTTTCGAGTGCGCCCGTTTACAGGGCTTGCCAGATGCTGTTACGCAAGCGATGCTTGCATGTTGTCGGGAGGAATCCTTACCTGCAGGTACGGTGGAAGCGTCCATTGGAGATGCCATGAGCATCAACGTTTTGATGCTTGTTCTTCGCGCCGGATTGGACGCGACAGGGTTGAGTGCCCTGGGTAGGGGCAAGGACTACTGGATCAGATGCCCTGCCGACAGCTGTAGAAATTTGAGCAACAATTTATTTTCCAATAGCTTCAGGAAAGCTCGGCAGCTTTAAAATAGAAGATTTCAAGTCATTGTCATGTGTGTCATGTGCATTTGATTTAACTTTGATTCAACAAGCTGCTGAGCTCACTTTGCCGGGGTCCGGGTAAGGGGAGTGGAATGCCCACGTTTGACAACGTGGACCGGGTAAGGAC